AAAGTGGCTAGTGATATTAAGAATATTGCCAAAAAGATTGTCTTGAAGTATCAAAGGGAAAAGCTCCCATTAGTAAAAATAGTTTGGTGGGGATCCTAATGTGCAAGAAAAAATTAAAAATAAGAGCTTTGTTATAAAAATTGGTTTAATTTTAAAAAATTCTGATAATTGCGGAAAATATATAAGTGGCTCGTAAGGATGCTAAGAAAGCAATATGCGATTGGCAGAAAGCATTAGCTTTCAGTATTTATATAATAGATTTAATACTTAAAGAAGGGAAAGATATATGTATAAAGTTAGCAAACAAAGAGATATGAGTAGTAAGGATTTAGTTCAAGGAAGTGTATTAAAAGATGAAGATCAAAAAATACTTTTCTTAGAAAGATTATATTCAACAAAGATGGATGAGATTATTTTGCTAAAAACTTTTTAACTGAAGATTTGTGAAAATAAGATGACTATAGTGACTTAGCACCCTAGATGAAAATAAAGATTTATGTTTTTATCGGCGTATTAGTAATCTGAAGTAGAGAAGGTTAAAGAAAAATGAAGGGTGGAAAAGCTTGTTGGACCTGATGATATTTCAATAGAGGTATGGAAATGCTTAGGAGATGAAGGAATTTCATGGCTTACTAAACTTTTTAATACTATTTTGAAGACTAAGAATATGCCAGATGAGTGGGAGCGAATGAGTTGTTTAATTCCATTTTTAAGAATAAACGGTGATGTAAAGATTGTGCGAATTTAGGGTATTAAGTTATATGTTGTCATATTTTAAAAACTATTGGAGCGAGTTGGAGCATAAGGTTTGCGGCGTGATACTAATTGTTTCTTTCCAAATCAATTTGGATTCATATGCCGGGTAGGCTCGTGACTTGAAGCCAATACATTTATTAAGAGGTTTGAAATGGAGAAATATAGAGAAAATAAGTGATGATTACATATGATATTTATTGGATTTAGGAAAAAGCATATGATAAGTTCCAAGGAAGTGGCTATGGAGAGTTCTTGAAAAAAGATCAATAATGCTTATATTCAAATCATTAAAAGATATTGTTGCAGGAGCTATTTACTTTTGTTCAAAACACAAGGTGGATTGACCAAGTATTTCCCTATTTCGGTTGGGTTACATACAGAATCAACGCCTTAACGCCCATATCTTTTGCTTCTAGTCATGGATGTTCTCACTAGACATTTGCAAAGGAATTGTACCCTTGGTGTATGCCTTTTTGCTGATATTTCTTCTTGTTGATAAGACTAGAGAATATGAGAGTTGAAGAGTAAACTTTGAATTATGCGAGGTCAAACTTTAAGAGTCTAAAGGTTTCGCTTGAGGTAGATTCTAAAACGGAATATATGCGAGTGCAATTTTAAGTAGTAATAGACCTGTTGGAGGGGATTGTGGACTTTGGGCGCGGATCAAGTCAATTAATAAGAGTACACGTTTTAGATATCTTGGATCTATTATGTTCCCAGAGTGATGGTGAAATAGATTGGGGATATTATCAGCCAGAATTCAAGTTGATGTTTGAAGTGGAGGAATGCATCGGGCTTTGTATTGTGATAGAAATGGTACCCCTCAATACTTTAAGAGGAAAAATTTTTTTCTTTCTATAAGATCGGTAGTGAGGCCTCATTGCTTTATGTGTCGCCTGACACTGTTTGGTTCCTTTAAAAGAAGAAGCATAATACTGGTTAAGTGTTGCAGAGATGAGGATGCTCATGGTGGATGAGTGGCTTTACCCTTAGGAGATAGGATACGAAATGAGCAAATATACGTGAAAAGGTTGGAGGTAGCTCCAGTAGAAGATAAGATTTAGAGAAAGTCGGCCTAGATTGGTTTTGGTCACATAAACGGCGGCCTTGCGATGACCCGGTTAGGGAGAGTAGAGGTATTAGATTTGACTTATGTTAAGAAGGTAGGGGTAGAACCTAAAAAGACTTGGTAGAAAATATTAGGAATGAACCCCTTTCCTTTTATTAGATCTTAAACGAAGAATTTGACTTTAATAGGAACACAATGGAGAAAAAGGATTCATGTAGCCGACCCCACGTAGTGGGATAAAGGCTTGATGTGTTGTTGTTGTTGTTGTTGTATATACAAAAATAATCCCTCCTCTTTACTCCACCATTTCAAACAAGAAGGAAAAAATTGTTGCGGGGAGTCAGTTTGGTAGTTGGACGCAGGAAGGGGACGGATCGCTTGTTGGTCCCATTCGGACCTAGAGAGAGGCGAGCGCTGTTGCTATTCGGACCTAGAGGGAGGCAGAGGGTTGTTGTGGTTCAAACCTAGAGGGAGGCGGGTGGCTTGCGGTGGCAAGCGGGGGTCGAAGCGTGTGGTGGTAGGCATCGAGTACAGACGAATGTGTGGAAAGAGCTTGTTCCGTTGGGCCTGGGATACATACGAGCAGAGGGATCAGGAGCCATTAGCAGAAGTTAGGGCCGGTCCGGATTCACGAACCTTGTTTTGTGGTATACAGATAGGAGGAGAACGACAATTGGGTTTCGTACACCTGAATCGAACGGGAGGACAAACTTCTTAGAGCTGGAGTTGATTTAGCAAATGCGTTTAAAAACCGAATCGGACCGGCCGTCCGACCGCGTTCAACCGTCGAAACCGGTCTAAACAGGTCGGTTTCGGTTCAACCTGAAAACCGAACTTAAGCTTCAAACCGGCCGGTTCCAACCGGCGAACCGTGTCGCCGTTCACTTGGAATCGGCCGGTTTCAAGATTTGTATATTTCTAAAATATTTAAATTTTAAATAACTTATTTTTAAAATTATTAAAAATATTTATAACCTATTAATTTCAAATTTGAAATGCTTAATTTTTAAAATTAAAAAAAAAAAATTCCACAAACAAGCTTTTATAAGTTTCATCTCTTTACATGATGTACTACACCTTTCTAGCTCAAAAGCCAATATATAGTAAAGCTCACCAAGGGAAGTCTCCCAAGTGATGTGGGACTAAAAAATCTTAAAAGCTCCTATGTCTTTTTTTTTTAACTTTTAGTTTAAAACAATACATACTCATTATTAATAAATTTTTAAAAATAATATTTTTTATGATGAAAATCATGAAATAATATTTTTTTAATTTATCTATATAATATAACAAATTATATTCATCATTTTAATTTTTTTATGGTACATAAATATTAATTAATTTATTTATTATTTATAATAAATGATTTAATTTAACCTCAATAATTTATAAATGTAAAATAATAATATGAATCTAATATATAAATTTTAAATATAAATTATATATAAATATATAACATAAATTAAGGATTATTTATATTAAACTTATTAATTCATTTGTAAGTTATTTTTTTGTTAAATTTAAAGATTGAATATGCTTAAATTTAAAATTATATAAGATATTAATAAGATATTAGAAATATGTAAGTTAATCTTATATGATTTTTATATCATCTAAATTGTATTTATTACGTCATCCGGTTGAACCCCGGTTCGACCGGTCGAACGTGAACCGCTCTCTCTACCGTTTCGTTGTCCGGTCCGGTTTTCACAACTTTGTGATTTAGAGCTTGTGCTGGCCGTTCGAGGGGGACGGACGGTGCAGGCGATCATCTTTGTGCGTGGCCGAGAGACTGGAGAAAGCCGAGCGCCAAAAATAAGCCGAATGCCTCAAAACTGAAAGTGAGCATAAGTTCCATGTTTCGTTCCTTTGTTCTTTTACACAGATTGAGATAGTAGTTCAAGAATGTGGAGATGAGATGACTTGCGGTTTGGTTTTGCCGATGTGGATATTTTTTATTATTTGTATTTCTCTTTTTTGTTTTTTTTTTATGTCAACAACTAGGTTCCAGACATTCTATTCGTAGGCAGTTGGGCAAACTATTTCCTATAAAAGCTTGATGGTAAGGTCTGGCTGGGGCAGCGTCTGTTTTATGGAAAAAAAAAGGCTTATAGCTATCTACATGTAAAAAAAAAAAAAACTCTTATTTGTTCGGGCCAAGCACTTTTTTGGCCTTTGGAATTGGAAGGTGAAGTTAATTTATCTTTCCATAAAAATGAACATAGCCTTTTTGGGATGTTATGGTTATCGCTGATGATTCATGCATTACTTGATTTTTCCTAGTTACAAGTATTAGATACTCAATAATTGATAAGAAGGGGTCTGCATTGCTAGTCATCTTCTCATTATTATTATTATTATAATTAATCAGGTTTATGAAGTCCTCCTGCACTCCTTCCTTTTTAAGTGTTGAATGTTGTGTTAACTCTAGTTCATATAATTTTTTGTCGTATTGGCTTTTGATTTATTCCAATATCTCTTTCTATCCGTACTACATTAATTCTATTTACACTCCTTATCGATGCATATTCCATTTTCATTGTAAATTCCCAAACGACTATCCTTTTTTCAACAATCTCGTCTTCAAACGTGCTATTAATATGCTCTCTTTATTATAATTATTTACAAATCACCATTTTGACCTTTTAAGTTGTAGATTTTTTATTTCTTCCAGCTCAGAGATTGCATGAAATCTAAATTTATTTTGCCGGACAATTTCTAAAAAGAAGCTTATTTCCCGTCTTATAAGGTTTTCACCCTTAGTTCCAATTCTGTGACTTGTCATGTTAACTAGATCAAGTTGAATTTAACATTTGTAGCGTGGTTTAATTGCTTTGCAACTATTCAAACTATCAGAGTCTATGAGTGGATGTATATGGCAAGAGAAAGTACAAGCTCAAGATCCTGTATGTTGGAAGATGGGCAAAATATATTCAAACATTGGACGATAAATAGCAGAAAAAAAAATCATGTGCCCAATTGCCAGACGGCTATATCAAGGGAAGGACATTGTGGACATGTTGGGCCGTGCTATTTCATAATTCATTTATATTTATTTTTGGATATTTATTTATGCATTTAAGCTGCGAGGATAATTGACCTTCAGTATAGGAATCAATTTGGAATTTACAAAATTTTAAATTATTTTTTTCTTTTCTATCATTCAACATTGCAGATCCATAATTGAGAAGCTAGGCCATGATCGAACATTGCAAGTAAAAGTAGTAGGAATGGATGAAGTGCAACAAAGTTACTATGGACAGCTTGTTCTTGGTGAAGGAGTCTCATCTAGTTTGGATGAGCAGCTTGTTAAAGAAGCACGAAAAGCTGGTGAATATGTGATCTGGAGCTTTTAAACTTCCCATTTTCTATCAGTCTTCATAGAGTTTTGAGCTTATTTTCTTCAGTTTCTTTTTTGTAATGCAATGACAGTTTCAATGGAGAAGCAAAGAGTTGCTGAGGAGGTTGCCTCCATTCTAAAATTGAGTGTTGATATTGATACAACCTCAACTGAAAGGTCTGCATTCCTAGAAACATTTTTTTTAATGTCTGTACTGGTGGAAATATCTGTTCTCTGCTAGTGATAATTTTTCTTGATGTATTTTCTGAAATGGTGCTGTCAAGTAGGGTTCTCCAATTTTCAGTCAACTTGAGTGCAGTGCAAACTCAACCTGACAAACCCAAATTCCCGAAAAAAGAAAACTCATTTTGCAACGAAATACATTCAACATGGTAGAAATTTGAAATATCTCAAGGCATGTCTACATGATTTTTGAGTTATGGGTAAAATATTTTTGTTAAAGTTTAAAGATGAGTTAACCTAAATATAACATAGCCTGTCTTGTGCTGCTCGCATTTTCTCATTCACAATCATTCCAATTAGTATATTTATATCTAATGACTACATCAAGTTTATCCTATATGCAATTGAACTCCCTATGTCCTTTTCCCACTCAATCCTTACCTCCCTCCTCACTTGTTGTTGCCCCTCGAGTTATGGCTCAGGTTGTTCTCATTGTTCAAGCTGATCCGTTGTAGCCATCTATTCTTGCGGCCCTTATTTCTCTTGTGGGTTCTCCTGCTTACAAAGCATCTATGGTTATTTTTCTTATAGCTAGCACTCCTCAGCCCTTAATTGAAGTTGTTGGGGGGCATCAAGAATTCAACGCCCTTTTCCAAGGACTTCTATCTCTTTAGCAAGATTTAGTGCTTCAAGAATTCAACGCTCTTTCCTTTATCTTTTTAGAAAGATTCTAACCCACCTCTACACAAGTATCTCTACTTTTCATGTTAAACATGCCTTACTGAGCCTTAATAAATCATCCTACATCAAAGTCACCAAACTCAATTTTTACTCTAATCATTGGCTCCAGGAGGCTCTTACTATTTGATTTAAATCGCATTAGCTGATATTGTTACTTTTCAACTTTCTTTATGCTTTAATCTTTAATTAATGTAGGATGATTAAAACTTTAAGGTTTTTAATGCAACCTAAGATGAGTTTAAAGATGAAAATAAATTAAAAAAAAGATTAATGATAGCCAAAAATGTGAAATTCAACTAGAAAATTGTGAATGACCGGAAAATTTTAACAATAATCATGTTCAGTCTTTAAAAAATGACATGAATCTCAATTAATTTCAATCACATGCAAATTCATCAACTAAACAATTTAAAAAATAAGAGCAAGTATATAAATTTCCCTAAAATAAATAACCAAGCTTCATGCATGTACTTGAAGTCTTCCCCCGGAAAGTTATCATCCGTTTGTGTGAAGCACTGAAACATGCATATCAACAAACGTGGATAAGAAGAGAAGAATATTGAAATTCCCCTTTTTCAAAGTTTTACATGTCTCAGAGGTACTATTCATATGTTTCAAAGGATCTAAAATAATGAACAAAATAAAATATGTAAAACTTACTAAAAAAAGTTTCGGTTCACTATTCATTAATTTTAATAGTGGAAACTCTTTCATAAATTTCACTTCTTGAATTGCCTAAGGAATTGGCAGAAAGTAGGAAATTTTTTTGCAAATCATTTAAATGGTAGAGGGCACCTGGGCACGTGAATAACAACCGAATAATGCATTGTAGCAAGCAGCGGGAAGTTAAATCTTGGGCGAGGAAGCAGTTGACAACAACTTAAGGGCTGATTGGTTGCAAGTATTCCCAAGCGCAATGCAAATCAAATGCCTGCTTTTTGGAAAATTTTGTGTTTGTTGGTAGAAGACCAATTGCAGTGCAAAATTTTAATATATTGTCATTTTCAATTTATGTGGGATTCATTTGATTTGGGAAAATTTCAAATACACAACAAATGTGAAGCTAGGCCTGTCGCTGCCATCTCTCGCCCACCACCACTCACCGCTGCTAGTCATCACCCACCTCTGGTTGCCCGTCGGCTCCTAACCACCGCCATCCACCTTCATTTGTCACCACCAGCCGATTGTGTTGTGGCTCCCGTTAGGTTTTAACTGAATTAATTTTACTTGAAATCAAACATAAAAAATGAACTCATATATTTATAATATACTTAATTAAACATCACAAAAATATTATAAATATATTACATTTACTTCATTATATCTCTCCTACTAATAAAAAACATCCCATGCCCATTTCCAGGCCCTTACGCCCATGTACTTGCACCTTTCCTCTTCGCGCTTAATGTACGTCATCCGTTCCCGCGCAAGATCCACTTCACTTCTTTTTCTCGTTCTATCACTCACCTACTTACGCTCCTGACATTGGATTTGAGGGGGCTCGACGAATCCACGTCGCTGATCCGGTGACGGTCGTCGGACACCACTCCAAGAACTCCTTCGAGCAAGAACCCACCACCTAAGAACAAATCCCAGGATACAGGAATTCACAAGAGAGTAAACTCAAATTTTATTCAATTCCAAAAATCTGCCTTATTACACTTAATGGCTATGTATTTATAGACAAACCATAGCAACCTACTAGGCTATACACAACACAGGCAAACACTAATCCTATGTAGCCATATACGCTACCTAATGAAATAAAACTAGCCTGAAGTTATCATGAATAAGCGGCTCAGCTCTGGCGTCATACTACCGGGGTAGGAGAAACTTCAGGCTCATAAAAAGATGTCTGGTTGGCCACCATAAGGAGGTGGATTTGGTTGGCTAAACCGGTCTAGATAGATCCACCTAATGCCAATTTGTCTACTGATCTTAAACATATCAAGCTTAGCCTAAGTAGGTGGATCATTTGTGATTGTGAGATTATTGGGAATCATTTGTGTTTCTTTCAGCATCCTAGAGAAGTAGATAGGAGCTTCAATATCCAACCCATTGGAGAGATCTTGACTTGCAATTTTTTTGTTAGTGATGACGATCAAGTTTGTTGCCGTATTGCGAACACTAGGAGTGAATATTTCATGCTGGACATCCGGCTCGCTCTTATCATCATCATACAAAGGCTTATCATCATCAAGAACTCCCAAGAACATGTCGTCATCATCATACAGGTCATACACGGATTCATCCACCTTACTCTCGTCATTATCATATATGGGTTGATCAAGATCAAGAACTCCATCGAACATGTCATCATCATACGCGCCGTACACATGCTCATCGTAGAGATGTAAAGACGATGAGTCCGGCAACAGATCTTTAAGTCTTTTGAAACTGAACTCGATTGAGGGAGTTAGAACTGGTGCTAGTTCTTCAGGTTTTAAGATCATAGAGGCTTTCATTTGGCTTTGTGGTGAGCTTTCGAACACCAAGTTCCATTGTATTATTTCTTTCTGATTCTGAAAAATTCAGATCGGGAAAGCCATCAAAGTCTCGGGAAAAGGGGGCTCAAGTTTTTCCTTCGTTCAATCCTTGACAATCGCAGTTTGAGTCGGATAATTTCTTGTTGAAGATCTTCAATTTCGACTTCTTGAAGTGGTCCCTGCAACGTCCATCGAGAAGGAAAGGTGCTTTGTTTTTCTTTGGGTGGACAATATGAGCGGAGAAATTCGGTTGGTTCTCTTTGCTTCCTTGTCATTTCTTCCAATACAAAGGCCACCTGCTTTTAGAAGCTTTTGTGTTCTGACAAGATCAATGTCTGAAAGCCAATCAGAAGCTTTTGTACTCTTCCTTTTATGAAATTCTCTTACTGGATTTGCTATTATGTGATACCACCTGACACCGTCCCAGTCTTGTGATCAGAAGTCTCCACTGGCTGAGACGGTTGGCTGATCCAAGAACAAGGTAGGGAGACCACCACTTGAAAAGAATCAAGATACAGAATGTGAGAGAACACTGTCCCAGGCTTGCGATCAGAAGTCTCCACGGGTGGTGATGGTTGGTTGCTGGGAACAAGAATCCTGACTACGTCCGCGACTCCTTCTGTCGTGCCTCACGGATTGCGCCTTCTACGTACACGTCCACTTCGACTCTGGCATCGTGCCGCTCCGCCCTGCCTTCGGTCTACATTGTGCGAACAAGGCCTGAGATCTCTGGTCCGTTCCCAATCTTGAATCAAGAAGCACCAATTGTGAGACCGGTGATGTCCGCTCTAGGCCCGACTCCCACCTGCAGACCTATGCAATAGCTCAACAAGCGACCCAGCCTTGATCTGCCTTCGCTCGCTCCTAGCCAGCGATGCGATTCTGCCTTCCGGTCATGGATGTCACCGGAAGCCTCCTCTCTTTCTTGACTTATTGGGCAGAGACGTGAAACCAAGAAACCACCACTTAAATAAATTCAAGATACATGAAGAGAGAAATTTCTCTCAAAAAAATTCAGGCCAAAATTCTCTCGGGCATCTTGCCGGCTTTGATACCAAATGACACCGCATCTGAGGGGGCTCGACGAATCCACGTCGATGATTCGGTGACGGTCGCCGAACACCACTCCAAGAACTCCTTGGAGCAAGAATCCACCACCTAAGAACAAATCCCAGGATATAGGAATTCACATAAGAGTAAACTCAATTTTTATTTATTTCTGCCTCATTACGTTTAATGGCTATGTATTTATAGACAAATCATAGCAACCTACTAAGCTACACACAACATAGGCAAACACTAATCCTATGTAGCCATATACGCTACATAATGAAATAAAACTGGCCTGAAGTTATCATGGATAAGCGGCTCAGCTCCGGCGTCAGCTCCCTCTAGCTCTCTCCATTCTTATTGCTCCAAGCCGAAGTCCTGAAACCCTTCGACGATAGCGAAGCAAATGGCATGCAAGATCTTATGGTAGAAGGTAGTTAGTTCACTTCAATTAAAAAGAAAATTAAGTTAACAAAATCTACATTAACTTTATCTGTTGTTAGGTTTATTTGATTTTCATATTTAGAATCTGGACACTTAAACTTTCTCTCGAATTATGTAGTGGCTGAGATGTGACCTACACAAAAATATTCAACTCTCTTGAGAAATCTGTTAGTTAATCATTTCTATCCAGGTAACAATATGTTGTAGATCAACGATCATTATATCTACTAAACGTAATGTCTAAACATGACTAAGGAAAATAAATAATTTCAAATTTATTAATCTTAAAAATCTAAGATTTAAAAAAAAAACCTAAAACTTCATAACCATAAATTAAAGACACCAGTAGATGAAATTTTAAATAAAAAATTTCATAAGGTATAGGAGAAATACTTTCAGATCTATGAAAGAATTGAAAAAGGGGGTTGAATGTTAACTTCTAACTGATCGATCTGACCAATGCTAGGCTTGATCGACTCCTACTACCCTACGTCAGCATGTCTCCACGATCGTGTCCAAAATAATTGCTCAAGTCGCATAAAAGAAGCACAAGAAACGAAAACAGATTTACGCGAATTTAAGATCAACTTTGCTTCCGGCCAAACCTCTCGCCCGAGTGAATCAGCCAACTCTCTTGTTGGAATTATGCACACAACCTTCCGACTTGCTGTCTTCCTCGACTGCTTGCACGCACGCCTATACGTGAGATTCAATGACTCTGCCTCGTCATTGCGTTCGATCTCGACCGAGCGAGTCTCCTGTGCCTCCCAGTTTTCCACGTGAAACCTCACCTCAATCCGCCTTTGAGCCTCTGTCCGCTTATGAGTGCAACTTCACCTCCAACGACCAACCCGATCGCGACTAGGTCGCAACTCACGTTTAGGCTTGGCGCCCCTCTGAAAGTTCCAACTCAAAACAAGAAATTGTACAAAATATGATGAAATCTACTAGAAATCTGAAAGTTCCAACTCATTATTCCGTAATTCTAGTACTAGAAACTCCTCCATAAATTCCACTTCCTGAATTGCTGAAGGATCCACAATAGATAGGATTTTTTTTTTTCAGAAACTCTGAAGTAAACCACACAATACACTCTCGTGCGCATGAAGAGTGGCAGAGGAAGACGCTGTAGCAATCGGGTGAGGAAGGCAGCAACAGTAACTTAACTAGAAATCCGGAGCCGGCAACAGTATATTGTAAACAGTTGCAAAGCTATCACCCTAGAGTAACAGTAGCAGGAAACAACGGGAAATGGAAAAGCGGGAAGCATAGGTTGCCGTTGCTTCCCGCTTTGAAATTAAGAATGGGTAGCTTACTAAATATGTTCCTGTTGAATGATAATGGTGAATAATGCGATGTTTCTTATCTTTCACTGTTTTCATAGCTATGCTTTGGATTTGACTTCTCAATAATTTAATTATTCTGCAGCACTGATTTGGTTGTTGCAACATTACGGGCTGGCGCAGAATATGCTGGATTACCTGTGCAAAGCTGCGTGCTCATTGCAGGGAGCCAATCTGGTGTAGTAGGAGCTGAGAGGATAGGCATACCCAGTGTGGTTATTCGAAGCAGGTAAACCATTTCAAACACAATTTTAAAAACTAATTTTGAGTACAAATGGATAACAGATATGCAGCACACCAACCACACCTAATTGTACATTTCTGTAAGTTGAAACTATCGTTGTTAAGTACTATTTAATTTAATATAATTGCAAGAATATTCACAAGATATTTATTTGAAAGTAGCCATGATAAATACAGTTGGGTACTAAAATACTAGATACATGTTGATTCAACTACAAACTCAGTCCAAAGCAAGGAGAACCTTCTTGCAACTCTATTGCTAGGATTATGATAAATGACAATTTTAGTTGGCTAGGAACTCCAGCAAATGTGAGGCTGAAGAGGAAAAAGGAGAATCTCAGAGCTTGGGGATTATTTCATTCTTCATTGATAGGCTAATAACCCTAATGAAGTCAAAGACTTAAAAGAATCATTTAACTATCTATTAAGTCTAATACAGCTCAAACTACCTTAGATTTCCCTGTCAAACCTCTATTGTTTGCTCGTGGATTTACCTTACCCCCTTGCTCTCATATTAACTACTGAACTCAGAGCACAAGCGCCTTCTACCTATCCAATCTTCAGGCCGCAGAAGTAGAGTTCCTTCCATTGTTGCTGCTGAGGTTTTTAGCTTCTGCCCACAACTGGAGTGAATGTTTTTTATTCAACAATTGACACTAAAACCTGCAACAATAATTCAAGTTCATACGGGAAGCCTTTTTAAGACTTCAATGGCAAACAATGCAATGTAAAATTCAGTAAAGCTTAGGGGCCATTTGGGATATCTTTTCTTTTTTCTTTTTATTTTGTTTATATTTTAATATGGAATAAAATATATTTAGTGCCTAAAAAATAGTTATTTCTATTTTTGTGGAATATTAAATAAGTTAATTTATGTGGTGTTAGAGGCAGTCACCGTCAGAGCAATGGCGGTGGCTACGTGAAATTCAGTGACAACCGCCAGCAGTGGCTGATGACGGTGACAGTTGTTTTAAAAAACATTCAAAATATCTCAAATTTATTTTGAGTTTTCCTAAAAATAATTTGATTTATTTTAAAAATAAGAAATAAAAATCATTAAAAAAATACACTACAAAGAACCAAGTTCAACTATGGGCTTCATCCTATGTACTGGAAAGTAGTCTCTTGCAATAGTATTATGATCCTACAGAATCAACGCCAAATGTTGGAAAGTGCTTGACGCCTAGTTTTGCACCGTCAATTTCCTTCCAGCATCCCTCCCAGTTGTCTAATTCTTTATATACTGTTGCAATGCTTACCTTTCTATTCCATATAAACATGCAGTTCCACTGCCCGAGCTGAGTTCCGCAGAGCAAAAGCTGTGATGGATGGATTCGGCGGAGCAGATCTAACAGTCTCTAAGCTCCTCAGCAAGAGATTTGCCGATCCAAGCTAAAGAACCTAACAAATGGCGCACTTAGTACCATCAGGTGTATTCCTAATGCCCATTGTATTAGCTATTTCCTGTTAGCAATGTGAGTTCAAATGCCACTACAGATTTCGCCAATTTTATAAATTGCATTCTTAATGTTGCCTGAACATTGCACTATATATAGTGAAAAGTAGTCACAGGTTGTTGACAAACTATGCTTCACTTCCCAATTAGATGGCAAATCTGATTAAGAGATCTATACAATTACAGCTATTTGGTCTTTTTTGGTTGTAGGCGAGAACTGGCTAAGTATGTAGTATTCAAAATTTATCTTATAACTATTAAACTTAGAAATATTAAGAAATCTTCTAAACAGAAGAGAAACTGGAGACCAATCGTTAACAGAATGGCACTGTTTGAAGGGTCTGAAACCTACATTAATATTTAAAACCTTTATTTGCTTTCATATGAAATTATTGGCCCAGTAGATCACCATGACACTAAAATTTTTCTTATGAAATATGTATCGCTTGGGTTCACAAGGAGCTGGTTTCAATCAAGCTTTTACAGGGGTGACTGGGAGCAGGTTTGTGTGATTCAACCCCAAAGGAGAGTTGCTGAACAAAGCAAGCCCAGTTATCTCTTTAACAGAGAAAATGGAGAAAACTGATAGGAAACATTCAAAGATCTCAAGTGAAACCTCTCAATCTTGGAAAAACAGCGGGGAATATTCATTTTTTTCAAAAAAAAAATAAAAGCAAGCCCAGGTATCTCTTTAATAGAGAAAATGGAGAAAACTGATAGGAAACGTTCGAAGATCTCAAGTGAAACCTCTCAATCTTGGAAAAACAGCGGGGAATATTCACAAAATTCTGAGGAAAAATAAGAAAACAATAATTTTATTGTAATAATCAAAGATAACATAAGGAAAATATCAAAATACAGTTAATCCTCAATTCGAGCGGAGGATATATCTCTTCTAATTCCTAAATGCTGCTAGAGCCCAAGATGTCAAGTACCAAGAACAATCAAATTAGCCACAATTATTAGATGCCCTACTTTTAATACAAATTCCTACTTAAAGCAAAAAAAAAAAAACATAAAAGGATTAGAATCCTCAAGTAATTAGCCCTAGGTAGTGGACCTCACTCTATGGGCAGATTATTAGGTTCGGACATCCACTAAAAATTTGCCACGTGGACTGCGCTTTGAGTCAAAAAAGCGCAGTCAAAAGCGTAGGTAAAACACAGATAAAGCGCAAATAAAATGCAATAAAAAAAGTGCAGTCAAAGCGCAGTCCATGTGGCAAGTTTTTATTGGATGTCCGGACCTATTTCTAGGTCCGGTGTCCGGACCTAAAATTTGCCCACTCTAAGGGGGGTGGGATTGACAGCCTGTTGTATTGCTGGAAGTTGAGTCGGGTGGACCAGTATAAGTGTATCAAAAACCTGAAGAAGTCAGTATGGAAGGAAAGAAAGAGAAGAAAGGTCTAGGATTTTGCATGGGAAGGTATTACCGTTTGAGTGGTGCATTACAGAGTTTTTCAAATTTTTTTTTCTTTGTTATTTGTATCTTTCATTTATGTCTGTGATTTAAATTCCTTATTAGTTTGGGGAAAAAAAGTTCAGTGAGGAGAGAGGTTGGAAACCTTTTATGAGAAATATTTTGCAACATTTGAATTTTATAATTCACAAATGTAGTCATTGTTGGTTTGGACTCTGATTACGGAAAAATTATTTTGTGCGGACACCGGACATCATCCGGAGACGAATCAAAGCGAGTCATGTCACTCTTTGTTGTGTACTAGTTGACGTGGTGTGTTCTAATTAGCCTCCGGACAGTCCGATATCCGCACAGAATAATTTCTCCCATTGATGAGTCTCATTTAAATCAATTCTTCAATCTCATTTAAATCAAACCTTAAGAAGGTAATTATCTAGAGGAGTTGTAATCTCTATCATCTATTCTAAAGCTTCCACTCTATTTTGAGCATTCCGCTTCCCTTTGTGGATGGGATAATTTCTTCAAAATTGCACTATCTTGATCTCTTGGTCATAGGTAATTTTATGTCTGTGTTTTTTGAGATCTTTATGCTTAATCTTATGCATTATGACATATTAGAAATTGTATTTTTTTTAGGTTTATTTGTTGTTATTATTATATGCTTGAAATTATATTAATGGGATTATAAAGATATAAAATTACCACTCAAAATACAAGCAATTCAACATATTATAAAACTCGCATAACTTATATTTTTACTCACATTCTTATGGATCATTAGATACAATCATTTTCAAGAAGGATTTATAGGACCAATGTTTCGAGCTTTTTAATCATATATGAGATTTTAAATCATAAAACTATTGTATTTATTATATTAGCTCTAAATTCAATATTTTACTTTAATGATAAGCCACACATTAGAGATTAATTATTCTGTGTGGATGTCGAACGTCATCCGGAGATCAACCAGAATGCGCCACATCATCCCTTCGCTTGGTATCATGGCTCAGTCTTCATGACAAGACACATTCTAGTTGATCTTCGAACATATAGAATAATTTAAAATCAATACCCTACATTGGGTTGTTATAAATCTTCTTTCACAAACATTTTTCTTGGTAAAATATAATCCTCAAACATCTAAAAAAATTGAATAAATCAAATTTCATCAAAACATAAAAAACAAATTTAAAATATTGTTGAGAACTTTTGAGCTTCTCAAATCTTTGATGCTTCAACCCATCCTTCTTTGCCTTAAAAAAAAATTTTTTTCTTCTCACACTACTTATCTCTCTTTAAAAATGCTAAATCAAACCCTTAAAATATAACTATTTTTAATGAGAGCTTTCTTTCCTTATCTTTAGGATAAATCCTATATAAGAAATTGAAGTTTCTATAAATAAATAAATAAAAAGGTTTGACAGTATCGATTAAATTCTGAAAATCTAAAGAATAATATCATGTAAAGTATTGATATTTTGAGTATCAGAGGAACTTTTGATGAATCTCATAAAAGTCCTGTAACTCTTACAAACATTGAAAATTTGGCCCAGATTTTCTAAGTGAAACTCCTCCACAGCATCATAGTTCCAGAAGGCTAAAAGGAACCAAGATCAATTACTATAACCCTTCTGGTTCAAACTTCTTAAAGCCAATATCATCACACAAAAAAGTGCTAAAATTTCAAAGAAACAACAGCTCAATACAGTTGATATATATAGAGATATGAAGAGTATTTTCCATCACATACACCAATTGCATATATACTGAAGTAAAATATAGAAAAGTTGGGTGCATCTGTGCTCTGCAAGTTAGAATACTGACCATTCACCAGATAACAGAATACAATCTGGGCAAGAGAGCAAAGGGACGAATCTCATGTCTGCATCAATGTGCTCGTTCCCGGAGAACTTCGATGTCGAGTTCAGAAGGATCGGTTGCTTGAATCTCATAATGAACGCCATCTAAGACTCGCCTGAATCGATCCTTGGATGTGGCGTAGAGCATCTTGGCGCGAATGCGAGATATGGAAGGGGACCTGGTTCAGGAAGTGTCAGGTTTGAGAAATGCACAGCCAGCAAATAACATGGATTTGGCGAAGCAAAGTTTCATTTTCATCAACTAATTATCAATATGGCAATAGGTACTAAGAATATGATAACAACAACAAGCCTTAATCCCACTATGGGGGTCGACTGCATGAATCCTGTTTCTCCATTGTGTTCAATTAAGGGTCAAATTTTCATCTAAATCTAATAAAGAAATAACATTTCTAATATTTTCTAACCAATTCTTTTTAGGTCTATCTCTACCTTTCTTAACATAAGTCAAATCTAATACATCTACTTTCATAACCAAGTTATAGGAAGGCATCCATTTTATGTGACCAAACCATCTAAGACGACTCTCTCTAATCTTACTTCCATTGGAGCTACTCCAACGTTTTCGCTTATATGCTCATTTCGTATCTTGTCTTTAAGCGTAAAGTCACTCATCCACCATCTGAGCATCCTTATCTCTGCAACACTTAACTTAATATTATGCTTCTATTTTAATGGCCAATATTCTGCACCATAATGCATCTACGTAAAAGTCTCTCCCCCTCAATATAGTAACCCAAATGGTTACCATTATATTTCGTCAAATCCTCCATGATATTTCTCAACTCTTCATTCTGCATGCTTTCTTCCTTGAGGCCCCCCAGTCAACCATCAATGGTACTGAAACAACCAACTCCTGAAGTTCCCCAAGACATCTGGATAAAACATCGACTGCTTTATTTTACAAATCAGGTATGTACTGGATCTCAAAATCATAGCCTAAAAGTTTGGACAGCCATCTATGATATTCCTCGATCACCATCCTTTGCTCCAACAGATACTTCAAGCTCCTCTGATCTATCCGGACAATGAAATGTCTACCCAAAATGCAAGGGCGTCACTTCTGAATAGCCAAAAATAATGGTCATCAGCACTCTCTCATACACCAACTTCAATCTAGCCCTGGTTGACAACACTTGACTGAAGTATGCTATAGGTATGTGATTTTGCACCAATATAGCCCCCAACCCATATCCTGACACATTGGTCTCTACTATAAAGATCTGGTTGAAGTCCGGAAGAGCTAGAACTAGAACTGTAGTCATGACTTTCTTCAATTTCTCAAAAGCCTGAGTCGCCGCCTCTCCCCACAAAAAATTTTCCTTCTTCAGTTGCTCGGTCAAGGGCCAAGTTATGGTACAGTACCCCCTCACAAATCTCCTGTAGTAACCAGTTAGTCCTAGGAAACCTCTCAACTCCCTTAGGTTCCTAAGCATAAGCTATTTCTGCATTGCCTCAATTTTTGTTTGGTCGGCCGCCACTCCCACTTGGACCACTACATGTCCCAAGTACTTCACACTAGACTGGGCGAAGCTACACTTCTTTAGGTTGGCCCTCAGCTGATGCTCCTATAAAACTCCCATAACCACCTTCAAGTGCTCCAGATGCTCCTCCTCAATTTTGTTGTACACCATGATGTCATAAAAAAACACCATAACAAACTTTCTGAGGTACTCCATGAACACCCTATTCATCAAAAATAGAAAAGTAGCAGGGGCATTAGTAAGCTCAAATAGCATTACCAGAAACTTATAATGCCCTTCATGTGTCCTGAAAGCTGTCTTTGAAATATCTGTCTCCCTCATCTTGATCTGATGGTACCTTGATTTCAAATCAAGCTTAGAAAACATGATTGCCCCATACAATTCATCTAAGAGCTCATCAATCACAGGAATAGGGAACTTATATGGCACTGTCCCCTTATTCAAAGCTCTGTGGTGTACACAGAACCGTCAGATCCCATCCTTCTTCTTAACTAGTAGGATTGGACTAGAGAAAGGACTCACATTGGGCCTGATAATCCCAACCTCCAAAGTCTCCCGGATCAGCTTCTCAATCTCATCCTTTTGAATCTGAGGAAAACAGTAGAGACGAACATTGATCGGTGACACCCCTTCCTTCAAAGTAATGGCATGCTCCAACTCCCTTTGTGATGGTAGGTCCTGGGGAGGTTGAAAAACCTCGTTGAAATATTGTATGAGTGGCTGCACTGAAGAGGGAATGTCGCCCTCCTCCAGTCTGACTCCCTACAAGTGATGCAACTCCACCAAATATCCTCCTCCCACCTCCTCTATGGTTCTGATCAGGGACTTAAGAGATACTTCAGTCTTAGATAGCCATGCATCACTCTGAATCACCATTCTCTTCCTCCCAACCACTAGTTCCATCCTCAGTGTCCCCCAATTAACCTTGCTCTCTCCCCAGCTCTGATACCAAATTTGATAGGAAATACTTGAGTTTGCAAGTAAACCTAAGGGAAATACTTGAGTTCGCAAGCAAACCTAGCAGTGATTGGTGAAAAACAACAAGAAAATTGCTGATTACAGCAGAAAACAGCAACGATACAACAACCTTCTTGAGAAATATGGAAAAAACTGAGAGAAAAATGAAGAATTCCACTAGCTGATGCAAGAAAATAGTAAACGATACAAGTTTGTTCAATTCGAGAGGAGAAAAAAACTCTCCAAATCTTTAGCCAAGCCTAGAGCTCAAAGGAACTTAGATCTCAAATTTGATTTCAAACTCAAGATGAAAACCCTAATTCTCCCAAAGGTCTAATTTAAAAAAAAAAAGAAGACATACAAAATCCCTAAACAACCCCTAATTTAAATTTTCCCTCCCAAAGCAAGTTTAATTAAGTCGTGGGCCCCATCCCTCCAACCGGCCCCTCTCTCTCTCTCTCTTCCCCTTGGTTCCGCCCCCTCCTCTTGTAGCAAAGAACTGATCCAGGTTGGACCGGTTCAGCTGGCCCTAGGGCCGGCCTAATGATAGGAAATACTTGATTTCAAGTATTTTCTAGCCAAATCTGAAGTAGAACGAGAAGAAAACTGTTGTTTTCAGTAGAGGACAGCAGCCAAACACAGGAAAACAGCGAGAAATTGCAAGAAAACTGAGAGAAAACTCAAGAAGAAACTTGGATTCCACTAGATAATGAATAAAATAGCAAAGATACAATTGATCCTCAATTCAGAGGAGGATCGATCTCTCCCAAATCTCTAGACGCCGCTAGAGCTCAAAGAAAACCTAAATCTAAGAGATCTCAAATTTCAGCCAAATTCAAGTTCAAGATACTCAAACCCTAGAAAAATCAACTATTTAATGCATACAATTCAAAAGGAATTCCCTAAACAGTCCCTACAATCAATTTTCCTCCTAAACTTCCTCAAAATTGCTTCCTAAAACTGTCCCGCAAACCGCGCGTCTCGAGCGGCCTCCGCCCAGGCGGAACTTCCGCCGTTTTGGTGTCTGGGCCGGTCCCGTGTCGACCGGCTAGACCGGTCCACTGGACCGGTCTAACACCTAACATAAGGCTTCTCAGTCTAATTACAAAACTCTTAACTACATAATGCAATATGCCTTGCCAAACGATGCATAAATGTTTACCTTGAAATATCCCATTCTCTGAACTTTGTGCATCTCAAATTAAAAGATTGAAAGAAAATAATAACTTGAGATACAAGCTAAAACGAATATGAAAATATACAAGACTACAGCAAACATTCAATGTAAATAACCAAACACTCTAAATCTAATCCTCAACGAGTCAATTTTAGATATGTTGAACCTGTACGCATAAAAGAAAAGTTAGGCTCATTGGTAACGCCTTGCTCATGCAGAATATATTAGAAATAAGATCAAATCAGAAATGAAAACAGAAAAAGCAGAAAATTACAAGGTTCAAAACCAAAAGATTACCAAGCAATGAAGAAAATCTTGCTTTTCTGACAATTTTCTTGGGTGACGAAGTCAAAATCATAGATTGCATATCTGCAATCATTTTCAGGTAGCGAAGCCATGAAATCATCATAGCTCTCAGCAGTGCCACCAGTCTTCTCTACAATAACTTCCTTTCGCTTTTCATCAATTTTAAAAACAACATACCGATGTGCCTTCTTTCTCTGAAGCTCGAAGAATGTGTCTTTGCAATGATCAGCAACACCCATGCCAGAGGACGCACTTGACTGAAACATAAATAGCAAATCGTCATAATGGAAAGTGCTGGTACTACTGTTGTGACATCGAGAAACTACACAGAAGAAATATAAACCAAAAATAAGATTATAAAACTGATGCTTTTTTTTCATATTTTTAAGACCAGATAGCTGGTAAAAAACTGATGAACATCTAGTAATCACTTATTGATGAGGACATCCGACCGCGGAAAGTTTATCAGAGAAGAGGCCAAAGATTTACGGCCATGATTGGACCACTTTATTTTTGAGTTATTATTTGTATTTGATTTATTTATGTATTTTCCCATTTTTATCCTCACTTGAGGTAGTAGGTTCATGTAACCTCAGGGGACACTTTCGTCTTTAGAGTTGTTATTGTATTTTAGTTTGGCTATTTATAGCCCCCCTTCCCGTCTTTGGAGGATGATGATAATTAAAATTCCTACACTTTTGTTCTTGGAGAGCTTGAGAGTTCTTGTGAGAGTTGAAGTCCCTAGGTGAGGGCAACGGATTACCCATCAATCGCAGGAAGCATACGGGCTCGTGGTTCACCTCCTCCATCAACTTTTTTCTTCTTCTTTCTAAAAGGGTGTTTAAGTTCCATTCTGTTGTACTAAAATTTGACTTTTAACCAGACACAATGGCGAAAAAGGATTCATATAGCCGACCCCACGTAGTGTGACAAAGGCTTGTTGTTGTTGTTGTTTATAAAGAAATGATAACCATGGGAACTTGCAAAAAAAAAAAAAAAGGTTAAAATAATGTTTTATCATCAAGATGTAGAAAGGTTTTGACAAAATAAACGTCTGGAAACTCATGGAATACTTCTCCTACAAGCAAAATGTAGTAGTCAAGCTCTATTTTTTTTTTTACTAGCCTCAAGCCAGCAAATAGCTAGCTGAGTTTCATCCCTGAATGCATGACCCAAACATAATACTGGCCGAAGTTAGTAGATCCCTCTTTTGCAAAGATAAGAAACCATATTCCACGCAATCAGATGAAAATAGAAGCATTTAACGAGAATTAACCACAATACAGCGCTCTGACACTCTGTACAATAGCATCCGACAATCCATGCAAAGCTAGGTCATATTAAACACCTTGAAGCACATAAAATTGCATCGACCATCGACTTCACAAGACCAAATCGACTCATGATCAACCAGAAAACGTCCAATTTCAGCACAACAAAATCAAATCAGGACAACGAATAAGAATCAAAAGTGATCCAGGACAAAAAAATTAGGATAAAGATTGAAGCATGCTCGACTGTCAATCAGACAAACACAGATTTTGTATCTAACTTTCAGCGAGGAAACGAGGGCTTACAAAGGATCGCAGGAGAGCCATCTCAGGTCGGAGACTGCGACGAAAACGGCTTCTTCGTTGAAACTTGGAGGGTACAGTCAAGCGAAGCGGATATCAACCCTTTTCGCTAGAAAGGGAGAGGCGAAGACGAAGAAGAGTAAGCGAAATGGGAGAGTGGCGGCTTTGTTTCTTCGGAATTGCGTGCAAAATAGTAAAGATTATTTTTTTTTCCTCCATCTTTTTCTTTCTCCATCTCAATGTTGATTAAGAATTTCGGTGGTGGGCATTTGTTGGCCTCATGACCGTTTGATCTGATCCGTTGCACCTTATGGCTTTGGCTTTTGTGTTTGTTTCTGCTAACTGTAACGCACTTTAGATGATTTTGTTAAAATATAATTATATTAGTTATTTTTTGAAGCAATAAAGAAATTTATTAAAGAAAAAAAATAGATATATAAATGGTTGAATTAGTCATCTATCTATTTAATGATTAGCTGCCTAAATAGATCCAATTAAAAAAATTCAATTGAGGGATAAAACATTTGAGATTAGACAAATCAAACTCATGCTTAGAGCATAACTAAACTCAATATTAATCCATTAATATTGTGGATAAGATATCAAAGAGTCATAAAATAGCTTTGAACAGCTAATCAAAGCTCAAAATATCAAAAATAATACATCATATATGTAATATATGTCATTTGAAATCTAGATAGTTATCTGCTCATAATTATAATGTTGACTGATTTAGTAGTTGTGAGTATTATTCAGTTGAATGGAGTGTAGAGTAATTAAAGAATTTGGATTGAGACAGTCGAGAACCAGAAGTTGGATTGTTCTCTGTGAGCATTGTGGCACCGAGATTTGGCGCTTTGGTGCTATGTTATGGGGAAAATGAGAAAAAGTGGGTTTTGAGGGAAGTGCTATGGCCTGGTAGCGTTGCAATGGTGTTGGGGAATGAAATCTAGGAAGTTTGAGATATTTTATGAGTTTTACCGATGGCATTGCGTGTTGGAAGTTGTTGTGTCGTGGCGTTAAGCTGAATTAGTGCTTTATAAAATAATAAATATCTCATTCCACTAGCCCAATCCCAAACGCCAGTAGCTTGCCGAGGAAAAGAGGAGAGTAGAGGAAGGAAAAATAGAAGATTTGGAGTTTGAAATATGATTTTTGTCCGTCCAACCGTTAACAAATTTGTCTGGCTCAAGGTAGGCAATTCTATCCTATTTCTGATTACAATTCTAAAGTATATCATGAAAATATATTTTAAAAAGTATTTTTCTTAAATTTTAAAAAGGTTTTACCATATAACTTAATACATTGTTTTACTCTTTGTTCTGAACAATTTAACTATAAAGATATAAAATTTTATTTGTTGGTTTGCTCTATATGAATTTTTTATTATTCCAAAAAACATAAGCATTTTTTGAATTTTAGCACATTTACTAAAGTATGTTAATTTATATTTTACACAGCCTCTATGAATTTGATAAATTTCTAAGCACTTTGAGTTAGTAACTGAAATGTGAGATTTTATATACAAGTTGGTATATGATATTATCTACTATAAAAAGTTTTAATTGCATGTTGCATTTGCATCATCATGTATTTCATGACATTTTGGAGTTTTTTAATTAGAAAGAAAGACACTTTGAAATTATCTAATTGGGCCGAAAATATTCTATGCTGGATTATTTTGTTCTGGCTATGAATTTATTTTATATTGAAAGTTATGTTATGTTCTATTTCTGCTCTACACCTATCTTAAAATGATAGGAGGTGGAATATTGTGAGTTTTAAGGGGCATAAGTATAAGTGCATTATGCATTTATATGTGCATCAATATACTTAAAATTTAAAAGTTAAGCAATACTTTTATGGTCTTATTTCAATTATATTTTGTTATGAATTAAATTCTATTATGGAGAATTGGTGTTGGCCTACTAAGTTTATACTCATTCCATTGTTTATGATGTTTCAAGAAAAGATAAAGGTCTTGCTGAATAGGCCAGTTAGATAGAGAGCAAGGAGGCCATAAACTATTTACTATTCATGTTGATTGCTTTTTTATTGATATTGACTAAAACTAGAGCACACATATTAATTCTTTAACCTTACATTGAATACAGTGATAGAGTTTTGGTTACCTGCTGGGTTTTGTAAGCTCATTATATAGGTTTATTGATTTCAGGTCTAAAAAGTAGTTAGGACCATCTGGAGTGAGATTGATCAATATTTTCAAGTTTTATTTAATCTCTGTGTTTTGTTCTATTCTTTTATAGTTATGAGCTTCAAAAAGAATAAATTGATATTGTTGAAATCTCTTGATTATTGTATAATATATTTTGAAGGAATGAATATATAAATATTTTGTTCTATTCTTTCATTGGATTGATTTAAAATGATGGATATTTACTAATTCTAGCAAATTAATTAAGAAATAAAAATATATATTTTTTTTAATTTAGATCATGGAGTGTTACATGGTATTGCTATAATATTATGATATGTGTAATGGAAGGATGTAAACTATTTATGAATTGTTCAATAGTATGCTACTTGGGCTCAATAATATTGCATTTTAACATTAACTACACAAACTCATATATCTATTCTTCTACAAACAAACTTTATTATTGGAAACCATACAATTTGATAAAGTAATCTTGTATAAAATGAGATGATAGGTATCTTTTTTTTGTAATTTATTTTGCATTTTCTCACAAAGAATAATTTTATTCATACCCTCTCTCACCCTCATTCATTTAAGATTTATCCCCCAAATGTGTACGATTTTCTTTAATTTGATGGCTAAAAGCTTTATACAACTATCAGTAGGAATATCCTTATATTCAAATACATGTTCTACATATGTAGCCAATCTACGAAGTCATTAGGATTTAACCCACCATCAAACTCTGGAAGGTCAATCTTAACCTCAAAATCTTGATATAATCTTATTGGTTCCCTCTTATGATAATGTTTATCTTCTTTGGGTGATTCTTAAAACACTAGATAGAAGGAACTTTCCATTTTTTCATCATCTGATCAATGAAACTAATATGATTCTCGAGTACACCTTTCATTTATCGCTAATCTAGTTTGTAATTATTGAATTTCACAATGTAATTCCTCCATAATTAATTTTTTTTTTTTTTTGATGGAAATGGTTTCTTATATGTGGCATCCTAAACTTGACGTTTTGATAATAAATTTGACACCAAATCAAATTAACATCCAATTTTGGATAAATTTATTAAAATATAACACTTCCACAAAGTTTAAAATAGAACAAAACTTAAATAAATGAAGTGCTCATCTTAAACTATGTTAAGACGACACATATTCATAAAGGCAAAAGGAAAAAGTAATAGAAACTACATTAAATATTATTATCAAGATACGAGCTCACATGAACAATGCTTGTGTGACACCCCCATATCAAAAATTGGATAATTGTATTTTGTTTTCTTTTAAATATCTACCAAAGCTTATTAATTTTATAAATATGATAAAATATAAATATATTAATATACATCCAATATTTACACATTGATTTAATCCCCAAAATGACATATGCAATAGCCATGATACATTGCAAATATAACATAACTACAAAAAAAAGAAAAAAAAATCAATAAATGTAAAAAGAAAATCTAAGCATGTTACCCAATTCAATCTCACTCCACTAGTTCTTTACACTTATCTAAAAATATGTAAATAATCTTATAATGAGAACAAAAGTCTAGCAAGTCACCAAAATCTATAATTGAAATCAATGCAAAATAAAAAAAATATGAACTATTCATATAAATTGTAATAAGTGAATCAATCATATCATATGTATCATATATCATATTCATATCAGTATAATATTAGTTTCATTACATATCAATCATCAGTCATTTATATGTTATCATTTAATCAGTTAGTTAGTCATTAGTCTTATCTATCATCACTTATCAATCTTATATATCATATTTCATCAATTTTATCTGTCATCTATCATTGATTACATCTATCATCTATCATTGATGGGGCGGTGGAATAACATAAATAATTATGAAAATGATTTAAGGCTCTATCAATCTCTAAATAATGCTTAAATTTATTTTGATATAAAATTTATAACAATCCCACTTAATATACACAAGTATACATGTCGAATCAAATAATATAGTGATAGCGTAGAATATTGATCACATAAGAAATAATATTTACTTGCAAATACTAGTATTATCTATTTCAACTATAACAGTTATCCTACTCAATTAAAATAAGTTTTAGTGAATATTTAATCAATTAATTTAAATTCAAAAATAATTAAATGAAATAATATTTGGATAAATTATTTTTTATTGATGGAATATATATAAAATATATTTCATAATGATTTTCTTCTATATTGATGATATTCAGAGCATATGCATCACCGACCGTTTAATCAAATATAAAGAGATAAAGAATATATTAAACCCTTCCAACCTCAATATCACTCTAAACTCTCATAGTATGTAAGTCTATGAAAATATTAAAAAAGTAAGTAAATCATGTACTATTAAAACCCCGTCATGATAATTATCACTATAAATTTGATACATGACAAGCACTATGTCTATGCTTGAATCATATCAAACCAATATATCTCGTTGTGCTTGCTTTCCTATTCCTAGGCTCCATATTACACCAGATATTAATTACATATGTGACCACTATGTGCATTTAATGAAGACCTGATATATTAAAAATATCATAAAATTATTGATAAAGAAAATTCATTAGTACTCCATATTTTATTTACACCATCAATCTAAAACTAGATAATGTCTATGCTTAACACTCTTTTTGGAACTAATAAAATTGCTTTCACAAGTACAAGTCAAACATTCTAATAGAATGTATATAATATTTCTTTGAATTCTCTTAGTTGTCACTTATAGGAAAAAATCAGAGAAGCACTATAAAGATTGAAATTAAACAAGTGATTGAACTCTCCTACTAACATCATAATCGAACTATTTATAGAAAAAACATAAAAAATAGATTATGGAATTATGGTGCTCAAGATACTTGTGCCACAGTACCCACAAAATGAACTAACGCGGCAACATTGAATGTTTTTCCTCCACTACGGTGCTTGCTGACAGGGACTCGTTGTTTAATGAATGGATGCATCGTTTCGTATGCATATCATGGCCTGAATGGTTATAAATGTATCACCA